AAAAAAAATTTTCGGTACCACTTCAACGATTTTCGCGTTGTATTTACAGTACCTATAACCATATCGACTTTGTCTATTATGCCCATATCGTTTATGTTTCAAACAAGTTGCGTAAAACGTTGTCTCAACAATGAGTAATTTTAAGAAGTGATCTATAATTCAATATGTCAATAAAATCAACGAAAATGTTCTGTTGATAACAAAAAAAAAAAACAAATTATCGACTGCAGATTGCCCTTTGTATATGCATCATTTTGATGCCGGATATATGGGGTGACGACCCAGAAGTCGCGTAGCTGCCGCCTATAGGCGGCGCCCCACAGGTCATATTGTGCGCGCCGTTTATAAGGCGCTCAAAGCGAAAAGATTAAACACTGCATTTATGAATTTCTGAAAAACAGTTGGAGAGTTGCACAATCTAAATGGTACTTTCATGAATTCATAATGACCGTTAGGAATTACAAACGCCCGTGTATTTCATACTATTCTCCTCGATAAGAACGTAGAAAAACCCGTTCTTTAGGTCTAAAGTACTAAAAACTTTTGCACCCTGTAACAAATCTAATTGATCTTCTATTACCGGCAATGGGTATCTATCTTTTACGATTTTCTTATTTAGCTGTCGATAATCTACACAAATTCTTGTTGAACCATTTTTTTTTTTTTTTTACCAACACGATCGGGCTAGCGTAATCCGAATGAGACAGTCGAATTATTTTGTTTGACAACCAAGATTCTATTTGTATATCTACTTCGTTTTTTTCTTGCTGAGACAACCTACGCGGCCTTTGATACACTAGAATGTCATCTTGAAGAATTAAGCTCACCTTAAGACTTACTTCACGCGGTACATAATTTTGATCAAGTTCTTTTATCGTCTGTTTGTGCTTTTGATCAGTAACACGAGACAAGTCTAAACCATCCATTTCAATTTCGACCTCTATTTTAAAAACATCTGGAATTTGATTATCATTATTATTTATTTTGCGAATGGAAATGTTTCCCTCCTTT